TCAACTCATAAATCCAATAAATGTCCACCTGCAAATGTTGTTGTTAATCCATTGATTCATCATCCATCATTTTATGGTTTATCATCATCATCACCCATAAAACAACCTTCTTTACTACCACCACCACCACCAACGGAATTCGCAACAAAAAATTTTGCTAAACCATCTCAAATAAAAACGATTAAATATGATAATCATTTACTAAACTCAATTGTTAAATCATCTGATTTACCAATGAATGATTGGAAAATATCAATTAAACATATATTTAAACAATTTTTATTTGATATTAATTATGAAAAATTTATTCAATGGTGTCAAACTAATCTTCTATTACCATTAATTAAATTAGATGATGAAGAAAAAAAGATTCTCAATGATATTACTAATGATGATTATTATGTTCATTATCGTCATCTTGAAAGATGTATTGCATTATTAAATGATCTTAAACGTGGAACAATTAGTATGACTTTATTACCGCCATCTAATAATGAATTGCAACAAATAGGACCAATTAAATCACAATTAGCAGGTACATATATCTTCCTCTATAATTTTTACACTTGCGTCATGTGATGTAACGTGAAATGTAAGAATTATTGTATCATTCTTCCGCTCCTTCCTTTCTTGTCATCATAAATATATGTTAATTAATTTTAGGTGCTAAAAAACGTAAAACAACAGTACCAACTACTCGTCATATGCCAGTTCCATCACAATCATCATCACCATCATTACCTTTATCAACAAATCCTATTTCTCATGATGATGGTTATCAATCACCTAGTTTACCTTTGAATGATGAACCAATAACATCTCCAACATCCTTATCAACACCACAACATTTAACGATTGATGATAATAATAATAATAATAATGATGAGTTAATGCCAATTGTAGCTACTGTTGAAGAAGAACAACAACAACCAATTCAAGATATGAATTCATCATTTCTTATAGTTGATTCAAATGACTATGATGATGGAAAAATTCATCTCGATGATACATTACCATCATGTTCATCTGGTTATGAATCAGCAGCAGCATTAACAAATGTTGATGTAAATATGGCACATAATCCAAGTAGTGATGATGATGAAACAAATTCAACAACACGTTCAAGAGAACATTCATCATCATGTCAATCGGATCAATCACTTGCACCTATATTATCAACAGTATCATCAAATATAAAATTAAATTCAACCAATAATAATAATGAAGAAAAATCCATGCATGTATCACCGGTGATATCAAATCAAAAAGTAAGTCTTCGACAACGTGATAAATATGGAAAATTTCTTGCACGATCACGATCACGTTCACCAACACCACGTAATACAAAAAAGAAACGTTCATCTAATGAACAATTAGCATCAGGAAATACAATATCAAAAGATCATATTGAACAACATTTACGAACATTATTAATGCCTCATAATAATGAACAACGACGTACACGTACAAGACCAATTAAAACTCCAACACGTTTAGTTGAAGAAATCGCTTCAAATCATTCAATCAAAACAACTGAAATCGATCATAATGCATTTGATACATATTCAAATTCATCATCATCATCATCATCATTAACAACAAATGATACAAAATCTAATGAACCAGTTCTTAATCATCAACCATGCACATATAATGTAACTATATCAAATAAACCTAATAAATTAGGTTTAACTATAAAAAAAGTTATTCAACGATAATAAATTATCTGAATCTGTTTTAAAAAATAAGGGCTGAGAAACAGTCTGATTATTATTTTTTGTTTGAATTCTTTCGTGTTCTTTTTTTTTATTTTATGTATATGTTGAAGAAGAATAGAGAGTAGATTATTTCTCTATTATCTTACATATGTACTTGTCAATTCTTTATTTCTGTCATTGAATTGACTTGAAGAAAACAACCAAAAGAATTTTTCTTCCCGTCCTATAAATTACCTATATTTGTATATAGATTGATTGTTGTTATTATTACTGTTTTTTTTCTCTTCTGTCTCTCTTTTGTTGGGATATACAAACAGACTTCTTCTATACATCGATTGTTCGTTGTGTTTTTGGTTTTTTTTTTGTATGAAAACTCATCATGTTGATTGTTATTTGTGTATTTCTTTTTTTTTCTGATGATAGTTCAGGAGAATAAGACTTATGTATGAATTTAAGAAAAAAAAGAAAAAGACATATCTTTGAATTCATATGATCAATCATATATGTATCTTTATTGTGAAACAATAACACAAAAATATTTTTTTTAGGATTGAACGATCATGCCACTAAGCAAATATCCACTTGCTCCTGACATACGAATGAATGGATGTGTTCGTTCATCGAGAATCTAAATATATAAATAGCTATAATTGTTTCTTTTTTAATGTAAAAGAGGAAATCATTTTCGAAAATTAAAAAATAACGGAAGTAAATAGTAAATATTTTGAGCATGACTAAATCTAAGCAAAAAATTTCATTTCCGATTATTAACTTAAGTAAGATTTTTAAAAA